GGAAACCGCAGAAAATTTGCCTATAATTTCATTTGAGATAAAAATGTCAGTAGGACAATACCACTTAGGATGAAGTTTGGTGTGCATAATATTGATAATGTAGGATCTTACAGTTCGTTGACCGGGAATAATCCTTGAAACCTGACTCAATTGAAGCTGTTTCTCCTCCTTTTCAACATACCATATCAGTCTTGTTTCATCCTGAAATTAGTCCATCAGAAGCAGTTGATGAATGATAATTTCAGAATGGGTTACAAAAACCTCAGAGCAATACCACTTATTTGAAGCAGAGAAATAGGGTGTGTAAAAGAGTCTCTATGTGTGTTGTGGGGGGGGGGGGGGGGGAGGCGTGACTCGCGAGAGAGAGGGAGGGAGGGCAAAAGCAGCAGAAGAAAGAAAGAAGCATAGAGCTGTCCTGGTGTCTGGGATGCTCTACACATTCTTCTTACCAAGTTCTAACTTTTCAACTTCAACTCAATCCTCTTTTGGCATGACAAAGATATCACAGTATAGGATAAGCAGTTACACCAAGAAACCATGTAGCTTGAACAAAAGAAATATCAAATTGAAAGTGTTGAGCTTTCCCTAAATTACGCTTTAAGGATTGGAAACCCAACCACATTTATTTCAACTTAATATAAATTGATGAAAAAAATAAGCAAAGAGATTGGGAAATAAAATGAACAATCTAATGCGAAGTTCATACAGTAGAAAGACGAAAAGGGCAGAATTTTGGCTTTCCTCTGCGTCCATACTTCAGTAGGTATGATCCTCTTTTTAAGGCTGTAATGGCCTGCAAGTTGCAAAAACAAGGATCTGTAGGTGCAAATCATATATAAAAACTTACCGTTTCAGCAACAGATACTCCCTTATTCCTCAATTAATTATCTTGATTTGTATGGTTATCACGAGAATATATGAATTTTCCACTATTTAGCAAGGGAAACTTAAAGGTCCAAATCTTAGTTTCTAGAGTTCTAAAGTAGAACAGGGAAAGAAGTCTGTTCAAAAGAGTGAACATGGAATCCACGTAACAATTTGTGGAGTATAATATAACTGACAATTTTCTGCTAAAATCATTTTAGAATTGAACTGAAAAGGAAAGGTCTATATACAGCATGGATCAAAGGGATTATTATTTTGCTAATGAGGGAGTGAAAAAGACAGACTACAACAAAAATAGTGCAAATTTATAAGCTCCTTTTATCTGACATTCCACACCAAGAAAATATGTACTAGAATATGGCACTCAAAATGGATGTAACTGTGACAGCAATGCTAGCTTTTATCTCTTCTTTTACAGAGAATAACTTTTCTAGATATATATAGAAGATAATCACATTGCATGCTCTCCTGGAAAAAAAAGAAGCAAACTGGTCGTTCTACAAGTAAAATCAATTAATAACATGCAGTACAGTAAATAGGTATCGGCAGGGGAGCCACCAGAAAAAGAAATAGCTAAGAATCCTTTTATGTTATCTAAAGTTTGGTTCTAATTTTAAATTTATGGTCATAATGGATATATTGCTGCTTAATGCAGGTACTGGGAGCGGTTGTTAATATATGAATTTGCAGGGAACCTTCTCTCTTTTTGCATCATTCATCTTGATAAGAAGATATAATGTAAAGGTCTGAAAAGCAAAAACATAGGTGTTGATGTAATTATTGTCATGGTTCTGTTCATTGCATTATTAGGTAAACCGTGAACCAGAAGGATTTCGGTACTTCTATTACCTGCAGTTTGTATTCTTTTCCTTTATTGACTAAATGATACAAACATTTTTAGTGTTATTTCGCAATAAGAAGCCAACTTTCTCATACTGGTGTGAGAGTTTTTCTGTTCTCAAAATAGACTTATTCCTGGAGGAAAAGGACTTTTAATGTGCACAATGTGAAGATGTTACAGTGAAACTAATTGTTTGCCCTTCTTCAATATCTGCTCTGTTCTAACGCAGCAAAGAATAGAAAACTTTAGCAATAAACATCACCTGTTCCACATTCCTCTCTCCAAGACTGTTCCTCTGTACGTTGTTCATTAAGCTGTTATATGAACTCTAGCACTTTGATAATGAAAATACCAAACATCTGGTAGCTGGCAAAAGAGCCCCCATAGTTCCTCCATAGGATGACTTTTCTACGTCCAAGAGAGTAAGGATACTAATATCATACAAACTATTTCAGAAGAACCAATCATGGATAAGCATAAAATAAGGAAAATGGTTTTTGGAAGCATCTCAACACGAACTATTAAGAAATGACATTTTTTTTCCTACAAAACAGACAGGAAAAAAAAAATGATCTAAGATTACTTTTCACTAGTAGAATCACCTTATCAAACAAATTAGTTGCATCAACTACATGTAAACAAAATATCCTAGCATGTAGCAGTTACATCTAAAATCTAAGCAAAACGTCCTTGAATATCCGGAACTACTACTTTTCATGACAACATCAGCGTCCTATTTAATAGTATCAACAACACAACTCCCTTAAATATAATCGGGAATACATATCAATATCACGTAAACACATTATACCAAAAAAAAAAACATATACCTATACTGTCCGTTCAAAATTCATGAGAAAAACAGCATCAGAACCAACAAGGAGCTAGGGTTTATGTCAATGCGAACCAATTTTCACAGGTTTGAACAATATATTTAACAAAAACACAGCGTTCATTTAGTAAACGAAATTCAAGGAAAATGTTAACGAAACTCATAGTTTGTGCTTCATAGTCAATACAGGTAACTAAAGAGCAAACTCACTGTCAACCGAGGTCGATTCTGGAAAAAATCATAGAATTACAGGAACTCCTCTTCTTCAGGCTCTCAGAGGAAACACGAAGGGAACTCCGAAGTGTAGATTTTCGATTTGATAGCAAAAGCCAAGCCTCAGCGCTCAGTAGATATCTCTCTCTATAACCAAAATTTGTCGGATCGGAAGAGAAATGAGAATTTGGCAGAGAGTGTTGTGAGGAAATTAGTGTGGTTTTTCCTCTCTCCTTTTTAAGTGTGAGGAGTACGTAAGTTATTGCGTGTGATGTAAATGAAATATATACGTAGCAGGGAATTCTTTTCTTATTTGGTGGTTCAATGGTGAAAATTATACTCCTTTGTTGATGCCACGTAGTCAACGAAATATGAATCTGTTGCGGCAAGATAGTGGGGGTACTACTGTTAACAGGGACCTTTTCTGTTTTTCTCAGTCTTGTCTCCAATCAACTAACTTCCCGCCTTTTTATTCCCACCTGGGTTTGTTATCTACCTTCCTATTTTACATTACTTTTTCTTGCATTTTTCTTACCATTTTTAAACAACCCCATTTTTTACTGTAATAATATTTTGAATTATAATTATTCTTTTGTCTCATGTGATATTTTTTTCAATAATTAAATAATTTAATTTAATTCATATGAAATCTTTAAATTTTTGAAATGAATTTTATATATCTACTAAATTAAGTCATAATTATTTTCTATTCAAATTTTTTTAAACACTTAAGAAATATTCACACACTTAAATTGAGCTAGTAAAAATATATCACCTTTCAAAAATGATTTACGACATAAATATATGTAGTCATAGAAATATTATTACTGTACGTACATGTTTTAATATCTCACAATCCAATTTTTTTTTTATAAGTCTTACGTCAATTCAAATTGTATTTCATAAATTATAAAAGGGAAAATAGTAGCTACGGAGTCACATTATTTTTCAATCGATTTTAACATTGTTTTCCTCTCTTCTCTTAGCATTTTATTAACAAAACGATATTTTGCGAAAAGAAACAGAATGTAATAGAGAGAGGCTGGCCTTTAAGCTCCTTCGTTGGTGTAATAATTTCCACAGTGTAATAGTACTAAATATATTTCATGCTAAATTCCAAGGTTGGAATAATTTAGATGTAGAATTTGTAAAAAGATGTTGAATAACAACTACTCCTTTCATTCCATAATGATGTATGATTGTATTTAGCCAAACATAGAGTCAAACATATATATTTTATTGGCTAGTATAATATAGTAATGAATTAATGACAATGGAATAAGATATAAAAGCAATGATTGATAAGTTTGTTTGAATGAGGAAATATTGTATCAATTAATATTTAGAATTTGAAGATTTTAGTGGATTTAAATTATTTAATTTGTACAAAATTAAAAATTGTCAATTTTTGGGACACCCCACATCGAAATGGTTTGTTGTATGATATGATACAAGGTAATGCATGTTTGATGAGTGGTTCTCTTTTATAAAAATAAAAATGAACTATCAAAGATAAATTTAAAAACATTGGGTAAACTATGACTTCAATATCAAACCAATAGGGATATATTTTCTTTCAACTATTTTAGTGTTAAATATTTTATATAAAACAAATCCAACAAGATGGGCATTTGGTCTAGTGGTATGATTCTCGCTTAGGGTGCGAGAGGTCCCGAGTTCAATTCTCGGAATGCCCCTAATATTTTTTTTCCTTTTTTTGTCTTTTTTTCTACCCACTGTATAAAGTTTAAACATCAAACCAACTTCTTTTTTCCTTTATTTGTCTTTTTCTACCACCGTTTAAACTTTTAACTAACTTCAACGTTTACCAAAAAGTTTATCGATTTCTTGTTAACTTATTGTTTGGTAGTTATTTTATTTTTTTTGAATCACTTGGCACTTGATTTGCAGGATATTCTACTTCCTTGAATCACTTGATGATACTCTAATTTTTTGAGTCTTTTGTACCACTATGCTTAAACCAACTTCAGCGTCTACTAAAAAGGATCATCGAGTAACAAAAAAAAGTTGAAGACCATTATTGAAAAGTTCAAGTGCCTAATAAACTTTCAGGTTGCTCCAGTTTTCTGTGTCAAGCGGGAGTACACGCTTGCGTATTTTAAAAGTTGCGTTAAGTTGGGCAAAAAATCGCAGTGACTCCACTCAGACTTCGCTAGTGATCAGAGTAATAGAAAGCCAAAGTTTTGATCGTGATGAAATCTCCTAATCCAGCTGAAAGATAAATAGAGCGATGATTCTCATTATCACTAACGTACTGCTTGAAATTAACAATTACAAAGTATCTAGGAGAAAAGACTCGGTAACAAGGATGAGTAGTATTAGTTTATAACATACATAAGTTAGAGGATTGCGAAAAACTCCATAAAACCAAAGATAGTAGTCCACACGGAGAAAGACCAAACATCAGTTTAAGGGCACCTCTTTACAACAGCAGATAGATCTCCTCTGCCTTCCTAAACAGTGATCAAGGCTCAGTATCTGTAGTCGTCATCATAAAACACATAATTGCTGGTATGGGTCTTTCGTTCTCCATCAGCCTGCAGGGAAATAAACTGAAATGAGCCAGTTCTTGATAACATGAGTTTTGCAATTTCAGAATACCTCAAGTCACTTGGTTTCTATGAGTCTGACATTTCCTCAATATATAAATAACACAGTGAACTGATTATCATACCTTGTGAATCATCTCCTCAAACGCTTGGGTTCCATGTTCTTTTATGTATTTCTCTGCAGCAGTCAGGATGTCATCTGGCTTACTAAAGACATCCTTCTTTCGTGGCACATACCAGATGTTAACTGCTTTTCGTTGGACAATGTAAGTCCTAATATAATGCTCATACACATACGCAGCACCATTGAAGTAAGGTATGACCAACCAGCAGGTCGCTATCAGTTTTGCATATGACCAGAAAGGAAGCCTGACATAGAAAGTGAATAAAATATAAAAGGAAAAGAATCCAGATCTGGTATTCGGAAAAGATTTAGTGATCATCTAAACTCACTAGAAGCAAACTGATAAACAAGAGATTCATGTACTACGCCAGACAAGGGTGTTTCTATCAATCCGGTTTACACTATTTTTTCTTCCAGTGTTCAATGGGCTTCATCAGAAAATATGATGAGTTTGAAAAAAAAGGGACAAATATGATGAGAAACATGACCCATAGTTAAAAGGGAGAGTGGGTGAGGAGGAGGAAGTGTTCCAAACTTACCTCCATATGAAAGTACATTGTGCACAAACATATCATATCAACAAAGGTAAGGTCAACTACACCATCACCAGCTCATTTTTTGCATTTATCATGACAATCCAGTTTCTTATACAACCAAATTCACAAGAAATTGTCAAGCAGATAGTTATTAAAATCACTGCTCTTGCTTCAAATACACTAGTGAAGACTCCACCATATGAGTACTAACCCACTTGGTAATCATTCAAAACTTTTGTCAATCATGACAGCTGCTCCAAATGTCACTGTATATGATTTCAGAGGAACATTTACTTAACCATCAGAATCATTTTCACCTGGCCAAACAATGTTTCAAGCATCATTACTTTGTGACCCCAATTTTTCTATGACTGTTGACTTGCAATTCCTATTCCTTCTAATTGCAAACTGCAATCAGCAGATGATCTTTCTCTCTTAGATAGTGTGTCATCGCTCATCACTTGTTCGACAATCTACAACACCAAACTTTTTTTGTTTTTAATGACCATTGTGTCATAGCCAACTTGTGCGCACCTGGACTAATTCCACGGATACCTGCTACCTCTCACCTAACACTTGTACTGAGTAATTGTGTTCAATCAAGGCTTAGGTAGATGCGATAAAATTACCTTATGTTCAGTCTCTATCTACCAAGTGAGTAAAACTTAAAATCCTCACATAAAAGTGTGTAGTAATTCAAAAAATCTCTGCGTTCTTCTATAACAAATACTTAAGAGACTGGGATGGAACCAAATTAGATTTGGAAATGAATGCTCAAAGGTTTCATGATTACAAAAAGTCACAAAAGGTTATTCACAGCTATCAATTTGAAAAACACCAACAGAAAAGAATACACAAATCTCAACCGAGCAAAAATTACCATTCAATAAGCTTGGCAAACGTCAGCTCAAAAAGTGTGATCATAGAATACAAAATCCAGTATGTAAGCCATTGCTGATCATCCACAGGGGATTTGGTCTCAATAGCCCTAATTGAAGCATACCTGTCAAATAACCCAAAACCCAGTACCAAAACATCACATATGAAGCCGTAAAAGAGGGAAAACAATAGGATCACCAAGTGAGAACCCACTTACAGAGGATATACCAAACTAACCACTGGCCTGCAATTTCAAACGCACAAGAGAAAACAAAAATTAGCTTCACAAGAATAAATTGCTCCTAAATTGGTCCATCATCCATGAATTAATTAATTAATGAAAAAAACACAAAGGTATCGAAGCTTGAGGAAGAAGAGATACCCTGCAAGAACATCAAAGTTGCTGATTATGACCTTGAGTAAGCTTACTATACCTCCTCCAGATCCTCCCATTTTGTTAAACTAAAAAATTACTAAAATTATGAGTTGTAAGTCTGAGATTTGCAGTATTAGTTGCAGCAGCAGAAAGATAGGTGTAGATTTGGAAGATGAGAAGGAGAGTTATCGCTTTGTGTGTTCAGAGAAGAGTAAAGTTACAGAGGCTTCTCTCCTGTCGTTTATATTCCAAAAGAAACAAAATAATGCAGCTAGTGTGTGTTTATTTTTCAATAATAACTACTCTACTTCCTTATGCTACTGTGCGCCGATTAATTTCTAAGATAAATTTTTATTTTTATTTTTTATTTAATAGACATGAATAAAATAAATTAAATAATACTCATTAGATTAGATTTTCTATGCTATATTATTACTTTTTTTCATCTAATTATCTATGAAATATGTGAATCGTAAATAATTTCATTACGAGTAAATGAATTATTTTAAAATATAAAAATATGACCTTTTTTTGATATATATTCATTATAGTGAATCTGCTTTACTAATTATCATTTTCAGTTAAAGCCATGATTGGTACATTATAATGTCCATATCCGGAGAAAAATTATTTCCACTAGCAAAAAAGAAGGAAGAAATTAAGAAGGAAAAAACCACAATAACATAAAGTTGAAAGCTAAAAAGTATGAGTACAACTTTGGCTCCATTTGTGCAATTATTTTGCCTTATACTTGCCTCTCACGTTTCCACTTTTTGATCTCTTATTAAGTAAATTAAAAACTTCCCCACAAAAAAAATAATAAGCCAAATTAAAAACATAATAAAACAAAGAACAAGGAAAAGAAGAGAAAAGGTTACTAGAGTCTATAATTAATTTCATTGTACGTGCGGTACAAAATATCAAAGTCCGTTATAATTTTTAATTTCACAAAAATTATTTTTTATCAATCATCATTTTTTTTCTGCAAAAATATAAATAGAAATATTTCTTGTTGTCTATGGTAAATATATTAAATCCGTATTTTGATTAAGCAGAAAATTATATTATAAGTACTATTTTCAAATAGATACTTAAATGTAAAATTTAAATTTAATAGAATCTTCAATACAAAATACAAAATTGGAGGAAATAAACCCCTCGACATTAAAAGATGAGTTGGCTGAATAAGAGAATTGATAATATGCGTGCGACCGTCCAACAACTCAACCAAACTTTGCGGGACTTGTATATTTGTCTCTTCCTACCCATTCTTCTTTTTATGCAAAAGACCTTTTTTGTGGATTCTAGTGATCCCAAACTTAAAACAAGTGAGTGCAAGATCTCAAATGAAAAAACTTATTTCTCATTTTTGGATACGTTTTGGGTGAATTTCGAGGTGAGGCATATATTAAAGATGTAGATTTATAATACGTAAGTCTTAAAATTTAAGGCGCAAGCTTCGAATGTAAAAATATAAGTCATGAATTTTTACGTACGCAAGAATGTTTTTAATTTATTATTTTAGCTTTTTTCACTTTACATCACATTTTTATTATTGGTTATTGAAATATAGTACTTTTTTCTTCATTATTGATTATTATTACTAATTTCAAATAAAAATCATAAATCATTGAACGGTTTACTTTTGCTTATTTTATTAGTAATAAAATTATAAAATTGACTATACATGAGACTACGTCACGTAGATTCATAGGACTCCATAAGACTTACGCCTAACCATGTACGATATAAAATGACGGATCTAACTTTATATATGCTTTATATTATAATTATAGTATATGTTGTTAATTTTAGATATCTCTTAATTTTAATAGTGTGTTCTATCAAAAGTGAGCATATTTTAACTCTATCAAAAATAGTCAAACAGCTCTAACTGTGAAACAACTGTTGTACAGTTTCCCCTCAATTTCTATTTAATTTAATAGCGCTAATATCTGTTAAGTATTTGAGGAAAACTGAAATAACGTTTCATAAATTTAATGGAAGGAAAAAGATACCGTAAAAATATATATCCAAGTGACTATTTCAAACCTACTAGTCTACTACCAAACACAAGAGATCAATTCTGTCATTTTCTTAAGATTTCTACAATGATAATGACAACTTAAGTCACTTCTCTGTCTCCTACCTCGTCAAAATACAAGGGACTAAGACAAATTTTGGCCACTCTAGAGATACCCAGAGCTTGAAAATGACCTCAACAGCAACAACATTGTAAGAGTTCAACATCAAAATCCATAGATGTCATGTCAGGCGCCTACTTACAGGTTTTGTTTACCAACATATTTTTGTATCCAACACTGCTATGGTATGGTTACCTCCCAACTGGTACTACCTCGACACTCAAACAGACAAACTAGGTTATTGTTGATCAAAATACAACGAAAAGTTTATATACAATGGAGAGCTGCAAGTCCAAAGTATTGCTGAATCTGCTGCTGTTTATCGTCTAAATCTACATTACCTAACTAGTACTTATACATGCCATTCCCTATGAACGAATGTCTTGTTTCTTCTAGACTACTATACTTACGCACCATCTTGAACCTCCTGTCGCAATAACTGAGGCCTCTTTTCAAGGATTTGGGATGGCCATACATCATTTGGAGTGGGGTATCTAGGCTGTGGTTTCTTCACAGTAGATGAGGGCATAGCCATGGGATCTGCAGCATCAGGCGCTGGATAAGCCTGAGGATTAGAACTCAAGGGAAAGACGTACACGGGGTTCATCATCTGTGACTGTTGAAATCCGTGCTCCGAAGCAGGCAATCTCATATAGTTAGTTTGTGAGGCAAACTCTGTGTGATGAATTTCAGGAGGAGCTAGATTTAGGTCAAGACTAGTCTCAGCTTCCCTTGCTTTGACCTCATTCTGCAGTTTGCTAATTTCAGCCTCCAGAACTGTATTTTCATCCTCAAGCTCCTTTTTCTCCACGCTAAGCTGTCAATAAGACAGCAGAATTAGAAAAGAATAACAGCAGAATATATGTGAAGCTGTAATGTATAGACCACAACTGAGTGGATCCTACATCCTAGATGAGGAATGAAGGGCAAATCAATCATTCATGAAAAAATGAATCCCACTGTCTTATTTTTTGGTAATCCTTCTTGAGTTACTGGAGAGCTCACATTAGATAATTAGAAGGCCAACTCATGGGGAGTGCAACTCTTCTCAGTTTGGGCCTCATACTTATCCTATTTAGTGTATATACCATGTCCGTATAGTGGCACAATGTTCTATGTGAATCCAGGTTCAAACTTCGAAGGACATAAAAAAGAGAAGAAATGGGCAGCATCTCCAAGCTGCGCAAAATTCCCAGAAATTAGGACACTTACATATTGAGATTCAGACAGCAAAGTCGTATTTTCTGTCCTCATATGCTTGATCTGAGAAAGCATGTCCTTTACAAATCGAGCAGCTTCACTCAATACAGAGGCTTTTCCATTCATCTGCTCAGATAGTTCTGCACCAGTAAGGCACCCACGTCTAATAAATTAGCCAATCTCTTTACAGAAAATTACACTAAGGGGACCACTTCCGCAATTTGTCAGAGGTGAACATGGGTAAGTTATAATCAATCAAGAAATTACCAAGAGCATCAGCCAAACCAAGAAAAAGCTCATTTAAATGCTCTCTCTTCATTTTCTCTCTCTCAGCTTTGTGAATTCTTTTTGGAACTTTCTTCTGAATCTTCTTCCTGAGATGAGAGCTGTAACAAGAGAGCTTTACAATCAGTACTTGTGTAGATATGCCACTGATAATGATGCAGAGAGCAGGCAAAACAAAGTCAACATAAATACATGAACTGAGTACACAAATTATTACTGTATTTATCCTGAGATTGGGAGCTTTAATGAGGATTCAAAGATGCAAGAATAGAGTTTTGAAGAGGCAGAAATACATTCTCTAAATTTTGTGAGGACCTTTTGCAAGTTAGTCAGTTAGAAACTGATCCTGTTGCTAAGTTAAGACTTGCAGAAAGGGCTAAATTATTGCTGAAAATCGTAGATTTTGGAAATAAGAAGCGACAATTCCTTGGCATCATAAAATTAAGCCTCTAAAGCTACTATGTGAACTGCAAACTAGCATATAGTACCTTCCAACTTATGGCGAGACAGTCTACAAATGAACAAAGTATGGTTCTGGGTTTTTTATAATGTGTCAAACTTGTGAAAAAAATTGTTGCTGCAAAGCTGGTATCATCAACCACATAAAGATCCCTACTGAGCTGATCAGTATGCCAGCTAACTCACATGAAATTTCTATAGTATCAAAAGTAAAAAGGATCCCCACCCAATCCAGAATAATTTTTTCGCGTCCATGGATACATAAATCTGTTCACTATCTATACAAGGGTCAATGCCCTTGCAAATGTAACAAAACCAGACGCTAAGCTTTGAATAAGAAGCAATTTTGGCATCAAACTTGCATGAAAATAACATCCCCATGAAGTTGACAAGCTTAAATGGGGATACCAAAAAGATGGAATTTATACAATCAAGGCAGGGTACCAACAAATATGCTCTAGAATTCCCATGGTAGACAACTGGTCTTGGGAACTTATTTGGAGGACCAAGCTGCCAACTAAGGTTGTTTGTTTTACTTGGACAGCTTTATATGAGGCATCTTACCCAAGACCATCTATAGAGAAGGAAAATACAGCTCCCACACAGATGCTATATGTGCAAAAAAGAGGCTGAAACCACCCGACATCTTCTTCATTGTGAGGTGGCCTCAAAAATATGGAACATGTTTTTTGTCTCTTTGGTCTTAATTGGCCACACCATTCTCAGTTAAGGATGCTCATGAGAACTGCCTATGGAGAGTTGACAAAGTCATCAAGAAGATCTGGATTTTGATACTACTTGTATTTTTTGGTGTATTTGGTTAGAGAGGAATAGGAGATATTTTGATAGGTAGTCAACTTCGAATCTTCAAGGCAAAGTGTATTGCCAATTTGTAATGGTCCAATTTGTTAATGCAGAACAACTTAAGGACTTAATTAACTCATTAATATAGTCAATCAGGGATTTTTGGTAAGCTCAAATACCACATCTTGTAATTCTTGCATCTTCTTGACGCCTCTTAATAATACCACACTTGATTTATAAAAAATCACATTATAAGTTCAACAACAAAGATGTCACAGGCTTATTGCAGATTCCCATACTTGATGGGAAAAAACCAATATGACATTCAGGCTACAAAATTTGAGAACTGACCTATCCAATGATGTCTCCGCATCTGTAGTATCCTTTTCAACTATTGGAGCAGGATTTTCTGTATCCATCTCTTATTCGAGTCCACGGTGTAGCCTTTGATGAGAAAAACTATTGTCTGTCCAAGGGAAAAAAAGGTGCAAGTAAGGATTGTCCAAAAGTTTGTCAAATGATGAACAATCAAGCTAAGTTCATTTGAAGTAACAAATTTTCAGCATTAACACGGTATACTTAGCCGATTTCTCATTACTTCACCATCTATTTCCTATGCTATGCTATTAAACAGCGGAACTCCTAAATTGAGGTAAGTAAAATTCAAGCGAACTAAGCAGAAACACTCTTTGTTTCGGAAGACTGGGTAGTAAATAACAGCATTTGATCCCCATTTTTCTATAATCAACTATTTATTGATAAGAAAAAACCTTTAGTTCCCAATTCTTCACCAAAGCAAGAACAAAAAATTCGTAAAAGAAGCCCCATGACTTCTGCTCTCTGCCTACGCAAAAATAAAAAAAACCTAATAAAATTTTGTTAAAAGCGCAACCCCAAAAGAAATCATTTCAAGCACATCAGAAATAGGGCTTAAAGATAAGAAAGATTGAAAGGATAAGAGCAATAAATGTGAAACAGATAGAAAGAAAAATTATACCTGAAACGGGATGGTGAGAGGAGAGTCGGATTAGGGGAAGAAGGAAGAAAGATTGTATGTTTTTTAATAAGTTGTGGGTGGGGAGGGGCGTGTGGCGAGCAGCTGGTGGTGGGAAGAATCAAGTGGGGAACGCATGAGATGCGTGCCACGCCAGCTTTGTTTTTTTGTCAAATAGCAAAGCCCTACACGTTTATGCTTGCAATTTCCACTCGCTCCCATCTCATGTCATCTTTATTGACCTTTCACACACGCCACTCCTCTCACTTGCTACAATCCACATAAATTATTAAATCTTTATCCTCCAATTTTTATTTTTAATTTATCCTTCATTTTATTTAGGACAAAAGGTCTAATTTTTACCCACGAACTTTACAAAAAGAATTCGTTAATAGTTAGGCTTCACATATTCTAATGTTAAACCCATACATATACATAATATTCAATTCCTAAATCATTTACAACATATAACATTATGGCCATCGAGATAGGACTAAGATATTGACCAAAGAAAATGGTATGATGAAGGCGTAAAAGAGATCGTATGATTTGGGGTTGATTCTTATGGTTCTTTTTGCGAGTGTAGTTGGTGGCAAATCTGTGGTGTACTGGTGTAGTAATAGTAGTCTTTAGGTGGCATCTCCGAGTGTAAAGAGTTACAAAGATCAACTTAGAGAAAAGCATATGTCATTAGTCAATAAGATAAAATTCAGCTCATTTTTATAATAGTAGGTATAGATTTGACACCAACTTTACTTCTACACCAAAGACTTGACACATTAGAAAATGTTAACCACATACTTTTAACAAACTTATAGTATAAATTTAAAATATCATGCAGAAAATGTTCGAATAGCAAACTATACATTGTAATATCCCAACTTTTAGCGCTCCTTTGTATATATAGTGGAAGTGAATATTTCTGCACATCAGAATTCGTATGATCCCCATCGATACGTTAATGTCTTTGCCATACAGGAGCAAGTGGTGAAAGGTTCAATACTCCATTCTCATAGATTGATTCACACTTTCGAACAGCCAAGCTGGAACTTGCGGACTTTCATTCTCCCATCCAACGCAAGAGCTAATATGTCATATTCCTCAACGTACCAAAGCTCACCGACAATTGCCTGCAACATTTGAAAAAATGTAATGAAGATCAAAAAGACATCAACAAAACAAGACTGTTTTTTAAAGAATTTGAGCAATACAGTAGGGTCCAACTAGGCATCTTATAATGACATGGTACATCTTCCAATGAGAGATATAGCTTCTCAAGCTAGCGTGACAGCATGGGTAACCTTTCAAACATGAGTGATTTCTGCTATAAAAAAGGAAACCTGACTTTACTAGGTAATTTCTATAACTTGGATGAGGTCCAAGTTTTAGCATCTTTCCCAATCCCAGGAACAGTTCTATGGTATGAACGACCCACAACAAATTCCTATGCTCTAGAACTCTAGAAGCTCTGCATACCACTGTCTGATTAGAGTAAATACTATTTGCAGGATGTTCAGATCATATGTTTCACATTTACTCACAATCAGCTACAATCCATGTTACAAGGTCATCTAATCCCAAGCTTCATCAAGGTTTACAAAGAACGTTCCAACTGTTTTACACTCGAACTGTTCACCTCCATCACTTCCCCAAAAATGCTCTAAGGAGCTGTGTTGTCTCTTTTGGAGTTTTTTTAGGTAAAATAAAGGAGAGTAAATTGGCTTCTCTGTGAAAGTGGGGAGACAACAACACCACACACACTCAAAATTGGCATCAAGTCTTGCAAAATGGCATCCCATTTTGACATTTAAGCTTCAAAATGTATCCTTCTTTTAAAACACATGTTGAAGTGTATGAAAGTCCCTCATAAATCATAATCCTTCCAAACGCAGAATCATGAGTTCCAGATATGGCCAACACGAGCACATCATACGGGGGAGGGGGTCAATGCATTCACTATTAGACGATGAGGGTTAATTTAGATGAAACCAAAAATTACCTTAGTGCCATGGATTTTGTTGTTTAATCTACTCACGAGCTCATAGAGAAATTGGAGTACTGAAACTTTATTTGCTTCCTGTGCAAGATAAAGGAAAGTTGAAAGAACAAGAAATACATTCAATTAACCAAGTGACTATTTTTTGGGATGAATAGTAAGGGAAAGAAGAGCTCTGGTTGAAATGATGTCTAGTCTTATTGTAGTTTATTTGGAGCCGGCGCCCAGACTGTGAGGACGATTTTCCAACAAATTGTTCCAGTCTCTTTGATTGAATCACCCTCACTCATGTTTTAGACGAGCTTTTAAGATTTCAAATGAACTTCATTCAAACAAGCATTATTTATCTTTACCTTATTTGAAGTTCAAGTTGATAGAATTGATTTTTCTTCCCGCATTTAAAAGAAAATGTTCTTCCCTCTCAATAGAAAGATGCCCTACACTAGGAAGCAAACTGGTAGTGTGGGACTGATCTCCATCAAGATTTTATTGTTTCCCCCTATCCCCTTATGTTTTAACTCTTCCTTGAACTATGACGAGAACATCCTGACTTTTTGTAACTTCTCGTAGTTAATTAGTGTTATTTCATTTTAGTACCAAAAACAACATATCACAGGGGACTAAGCAGTGATTTCCAGATTAAACATCAATAAAACAATAGATGATTAAAAATGCAGGCAACAGATCAAAGATGCTAGTAAAAAATTACCTCAGGCCAACTACTAGGGTGTCCAAGAAGTCTGGCAAATGAGGTATGAAGCATTACAGCATCATACTGCAGCACCAAGGAAGTGTGGTCAGCAAATGTTAGAAATATTGATGTATTATTTTAACAGTACTATCTTGAGAAGACAAGAATTTAAACGAAAGAAAATAGTCCTAAAACCTAAAGGGGGTGGACCATGAATGGAAGAATCATGCAATAGCAATGGCTTATTTATCATTAAAGTTCATAATGGTTTTACTGCCAAGATTATATTTACAGATTTCTGAATATATGAGAGTTAATTAGCACCAAGTGGTTGAAGTGCAAAGACATAAGCATCTTCACTAAGATGTAAAGCAGAAAAGGTTTGTTTAGCTCTCACAAGTTGCTTCGCAGGTGCATGTGGAAGAGCATTTCTCAATTTTTGTCTGATAGTTACTGGATCACTTCCAGAGTCCACCTACAAATGAAAACATAAAATGTAAGTGTAAAAAGCAAGAAAATACAATTTCACCAACTTATATCTCCATTATATTTTTTAACCTAATAATTGCAACATGTGATGACCATTGCAAAGTGGTGCACCACTTGTAGAGTAGTAATTTGAGTCAATCATAAGCCATGATCATTGAGATAAGATGTTCATGATTCATGAACACGGAAGAAGTCTTTGCATCATTTATGTCACCAGATACACTCTTGGAATTCACATCCTTTATATTGAACATTGTTAAAGCGAGGCATGTCTTGCAAACGTTACCATGTATCTCTTGATAATGAAATAATAGGTACAATACTGCTTTTACATACAAGACTAAACAATCAGTTGGAAAAGTAGATCTGAAGTTCAGCTTATACATTGATATTCTGAAGTCCCTAATTATGTTAAATGGACGCATACATGGTGGACCAAGAAGGATGTGGATGTTATACGGGATGGGACTGCACAAATTTCCTTGCTAACTTTTAGCGTATTTTTAAAAATAAAGACAGCCATAGCCGAGCAAATCAACAAAGATATTGATGCAGATGAACAATCAATGTAATGTAGGTTCTGAATCATCTATTTGCAAGCATAAGTAATATTATACAGCACAAGATTATATCCAAAAGCAAAGAAGAGTTTCCCACAACTGCCTAAGAAAGCTTGAAACATCCATGTGTCTAGAATGGCCTACATTCAGAATAAAAGAAAAAACAAAAACTGTAGAGTTGAGCTCTGGCAGCATTCTTATCTCAAACATTTACTTTTTGAAGTCTTGCTAAAATACTCACAGAGAGATAGATTAAGAGAAAAGATGGGGAAAGATCAAAGGTTATTAATATACCTGCCAACAACCTACTAACACCCCAGTTGATGTCAGAACCACTCTGTCTAGGGTAATTTTTAGTGGGCAGATTGACTCAGAAACAGCTCTAACAGCATTTGCTTCAGCTTCAATCTGAGAAACACAGAACACTCTCAGCATCATCAACATAACAATTCAATGAGAAGAAAGGACATAAACGAAGATACTTCTTCATCTAAAAGCATTTTTACCTCTGATTCAGAAGCAGGGACAGCAGTAATGTGATGGGAACCGTGGAACATGCTGAAGTGATATAAACTAGAGTTCTGAAACCAAATTGCTAAGCAACACATGTATAAGCCTCCAAATTAATAGAATGAGAGATGTTTAAAGAAGGGTTAACACATCCCTCCAATATTAATCAACAAGAAAGACACCATACCTTTATCAAAATGTGGCGAGAATATAGATCTCACAGCATCCCTTTAGAAAAAAAAAGGTGAGAAAAAGTGTGAATATAGCAATTCCTAGTGCAATATGAAAAGTAGTATTCACATAACTGAATAAAATTGTAAGAGTAGCCAATATTGTCCTTCAAAATAGGCAAATTTGGCTTTCTTAATATTAACTAAACGTAGCTGCTTTTTGCTTCAGTGCTACACAGGAAATTTTGTGGCTGATTTTGTCCAGATAAATCAAAAAGACGAACTTACGCAATAGGGACAGAATACTCTGGATTGAGATACAAAACATTCGCTCGCACAGGGGGATTTGCAGGCTATACGCAGAAGGAAATTAACCACCCTCAGTTTTGACACAACAAATAAGAATATGGATGAATGTTGATTTGTAAGTGATATTAACCTTGAGTACAGGAGTGACTACTCCATCTTTGAGTATAAACAGATCTGACAGGGAAAGTGATTGAGTAGTTTCTCCCTGTTTGAGGAAAGTAGCTCCGTGATCCTCCAAGTCTTTCTCCATCTTTTCATACAA